GCCCTGTAAGAATGGCCAGCTGTGTTAGTAACTTCTACAGGATGAGCTGACCCACATCATATATATCCCTTTAATTGACTTAGACTCAGTAGTATTGAACTCATCAAGGAAACAAGATTTGTGGCTTGTAATCTGAAGTGAACATAGGTTGCTCATGTCTTGTGTTTAAAATCTTGACTCAGCCATGAAATAAACCACACCCTACAAGACCATTCCTTCACTGTTGGGACACATAACTATTCCACTGCTTGAAGTAAATTCACTGTCACAGCAAAATGTGACAACTGTTTTATAGTTGAGTCAAGTGACTTTATATTGCCTTTCTTTGAGTTCCACATGCTGAGTTTCAGTTTGAATTTGCCTACTGGAGGCACTCCAAACCTCACTAGTCCTGGACTTCAGCTTGGTGTTGTACACAGCACTGAAACACGTGCAATTTCATGTGGTTTTCAAAGGAAGTTATAAGGACTTCTCCTAGAACAGTTCAAAATTAAGATTAAATCTACAAGAGATCCTATGGCCCTCATCTATGGGAACTGAGGAGGTTTCCATCCTTTCAGCCAAGGAAGGCTAGAAGGTTCTTGCTGCAGAACCTTGGTTTGGATGGCTTGGGTGGTTTGATTGGTTTGGATGTCTACACTGCTTCAGAGCTGCAAGCAACCACTGTCAATAGTTCATTGTCTGCTCTGAGTGACTCACATATCATTTAAAAGAGGAATAATCTTGATGTCACAGAACTTCTCTTTTACACCCAAGAGCAGGATGGAGTATGTCTGTAATTTAAGGCTAACTAAGAACATTGTGACCTGATGACAAAGTCAGCAAGAAGAAGTCCCATTGGCATGCCTTAGTTTGGAAACCCCAAAGGCTTCTGCTGATGCTGAGAGGATCATATGATCCTATTCTTTAACAGGCTTGGAGTTTAGCTATTTTTGGCTCTATATTTTATAATATATTATTTTATGCTTTAAGGTAATAGCAGTTGCAAGAAAGTTGATCTTGGAGTACAGGTAATCCTAGACTTAGCGAAAGTTTCTGGCTACATAAAAGGAGTAATTAAGTGTCTTTAAGGAGACAACTGAAGCAACTGCCCAAGGCAGTTTGCTGCAGAGTTGGGCTGGAATTAAACCATATACCCTGAGAGATTTCCACATAACTAATGCAGAGACAGGGAACACAAGGTCTGCTTTGCAAAGAGGATTATCAGGAGACAGGGTAATCACGTATGAAACTTGTCCTGAAGATCCAGATGGACAAACCTGCAGAGTAAAATGAATGGTTTGAAAGAAAGACTTTGAAACCATGCAAAAAGAAAATTCCAGTGTTTGCTCTGGAAAACAAGGATGTGCTTGCACTTGTGTAATAATTGTCTTGCATCATGATTTCTGTAGTAGATTTCTCCCACCAAGGCAGCCAATATGAAGTATGAAATAATTGCTCTGCAGCAGTAAACCAGAGTGTTTCAATAATTAAGACATACTATAACTATTTTTTTCATTCTCACAGGTATCTCAGATGAATTCATAACTCCCATGTTTAATTTTTATAAAAGCATTGGAGAGCTGAAGATGACACAGGAAGAATATGCACTGCTCACAGCCATAGTTATCCTGTCTCCAGGTAACTTCTCATCCAGAATTAAATATTAAGGGTTCTGGAAAGAAAGCATGAGGAACAGACACAAGATTTGTAAAAACTTATGTTCTACATAGAGTAAGTGAATGTGCAGGCTCATTCTGTATATTCAGTTGTTAAACCAGAAAACAAGGACAGAAATACAAACTCCAAATGTCCTGCTACACCATTTGGTTTTGAATACAAGGAAGAAACTGGTTAAATAATGTGCTTTAAAAAATTATGGGTATCTCTTCACTGCTTAGCAAAACAGGCTTCTTCCTTCAGAAAACCCCAGATGTGGCTACATGCACATCACCGCTGACCATTGTGGAATGCCACATGTTTTAAGGGGAAATTGGGAAACCCTATAACTTAGAATAACTTAGAGTATGGCAATGAAGTTATTCAGACTTTATTGGGAAGTTTCCAAACCAGGTTTCATGAAAGATGGGAAAATGAAGCATTTCCAGCACTCTTTGAGTCAGTGTGTCCCAGCAACTTTTTACACCAAAAATCCCATCCTTCTCTTCTCCTCCCAATCCAAGTATCCAAACACATGTTTCCATATGAACAAAATAAAGAGACAAGCATTGTGTAAAAAAGAAATTTAATCTGAGGATGAAAATGTTTGATTTCACTCTGGCGACCTACTTTTACACTCTTCTCTACTGGCTAAATTCTCCAGGAGTACTACAGCTCCAAGAACTTAGGGTGTTGCTCAGTTTTTGACATGCATTGTAAGACATACTCTGGTGCAGAGTTAGACTATGGAGGGATGATGACAAAACTCCAGTGAAACGTTGCAGAGCTAAAACACTTCAGTATTTAAGAAGGTTAAAAAATTTCTCTAGCTAGAAGTGGGAAGCTCACATGAAAACCCTAATGCAAAAATACAGCATTAAACATTTTTATTTCATATTAACTTGGAAATAAGTATTCTTTGTAGGTATGAACATTGTAAATATTTGAATATTTTTATATTAACCTATTGGTGTAAATATTTGTAATGTATCAGAGAGTATATTTGCTAATCACTTCTTCTCTTTGAAACCATAATTAGATCGACAATACATAAAGGGCAGAGATTCTGTGGAAAGGCTTCAAGAACCACTGCTGGATATTCTACAAAAAGTCTGCAAACTTCACCACCCAGATAACCCTCAACACTTTGCATGTCTTCTGGGTCGTCTCACAGAATTACGGACATTTAACCATCATCACGCAGAGATGCTGATGTCATGGAGAGTGAATGATCACAAATTCACACCTCTTCTCTGTGAGATCTGGGATGTGCAGTGAAGGATACTTCTTTATTTTATTTTAGGAGAAATATATTTTTAAAGGACCACGCAGCACTTATTTTAATAGAAAAGTTCCCACGGTACATTATATTTTCTTTACTGCATTTTTATAGAAACATTATGAATCATTGAATCCATGGATGCATTAAAGTAATTTTGTCCACTATACACAGAATATTGCATAGCTATTGGATCCTCACACGTGAGTATAACTTTTCCTATATTTATACCCTCTGACCAGAAAGAGCCCACCAGCTCTCCAGAGGAATCCAATTAATTCCTGCTGCAATTAAGCTGATTGCAGTAACTGTTCCTCTGTAAAGAAATGGGGACATGCAAGTTTCCATTCATAATTTTTCACTGAAGTGTTTTTTTGTTCTTTACTTCTGACAAAGAATATATTTTAGATGGTTACAGTAATAAAGCAGCTGAAATGGTTCATGTCATAGTCATTTGTTGTTCAACTCCAAAATGTGTTCATGTTAAGGTGTGCAAGATGTTATTTCTTCACAAGATGAAAAATTATGTATTGGAGAAAAACAACATACACAGAAAAACTCTTTTAATGATATAAGATGTAACTTCAATTGCATTATTATTTCGAAGTAAAAGTTATAGACTACCTTTACTTTGTGAAAGTGTGTCACAGGTTATTTTGCTTTGTGACTTTGACTGCTGGTGCTTAATGGCTCTCAAAAATACCATCGGCAGCACCCCTGGGACAGGCACGCGTGTCTGGGTGCTGTGCGCGGAGGTGCGGATGCCGCCGGGGGCTGCAGGCAGGGCGGGCGGACTCTTCCTGCCGGGGTCCGCTCCCAGCGAGGCGAGCCCGGGCGGCGGGGAGAGCGCTGTGCCGAGTGCTGCGGGCGGAACGCCGGCTGCCGGGGGCCCTTCGGCTCCCAGCGCCCGGGGCGCAGGCGGGCGCTGTCCCGGCCCGGGGGCCATGTCCCGGCCCGGGGGCCATGTCCCAGTCCGGAGGCGATGTCCCGGCCGGGAGCGGGGCGGTGCCGCGGCTCCGGGCCAGGTGCGGCGGGCCCGGGCCCGCCCCCGCCGCCGATTGGCGCTTTCGAAAGGAGCGGCCGGCGCGGCGGCACCGCGGCGCTGTGCAGGCACAGCACGGCACGGCACGGCATGGCATAGGGTAGGACGGCACGGCAGGGCAGAGCGGTGGGTGTGACGGCAGCCCGCACCGGGGGGTGGCGGTGGCCGGGCCCGCGGGGGAGGTGTGGGGCGGCTGAGGGGCAGCGGGTCCGGTCCCAGTCCCGGTCCCGGTCCCGGCGCCGGGCGGGGAGCGCGGCGCTGCGGCGGAGCCCCGCTGGCCGCAGTGCCTCGGGCGCGCAGCTCCGGAGCGGCGGCGCTCGGGGGTCCCGCCCGTGTGCGGGGGCAGCGCTGAGTGCCGCGGGTCGGGGAGCCCCGGCAGAGCCCGTGTTGGGCGGTGCCGGTCCCTGAGAGCGGCCTGGTCACCCGTCCAGCGGCCGCAGTTCATCCAGCGTCTCGGTCACGGAGGTCGGAAGGGAAGTGCCTCGAAACTTACCCTGGGGAAGGAAGAGGGGAGAGTTTTTGCATAACCGCCTTCAAACCAGTCTCTTCTGTGCCCTACGCAGGCGTTTGAGGATGCTGTGCTGATTCTGTAGGAAATTTGCCCCAGTGCTCTTGGCTAAAACACTCATTCATATTGCTTAATAAGCGGAAAAGCGTCTGCCTCCTTTCTTTGCCCAAAAGCTGGCCATGTTCCAGGGATGCTGTGTGTCACCTTTGGCACAGCATCAGATCAAGACGTGGGAAAAAGTACATGTATTCCTTTAGGAGTTATAAGGCCTAACTGGGAATGCATTTGAAATTGTACCCTGTGAGTCTTTCAGAATAAGAGACGATTTTATATTTAAGTCATAATAAACTACTCCTGACTGTGGTCAGCCAGCAGTATAATGAGCATCGAAAAATGCTCCCCTACTGTGTTACTTTGCTGGAAGAAGTGTGGGTTAGAAATGGAAGGGAGAGAAGAACTTGCTTGTGTATGTGAGGGAACAACTGGGACAGCGTGTCTGGTGTTAACCAGCCTCTGCCCAAACTGGATGCTCCTGTGGGAAAGCAGCCGTCTGCATGTCTCCTGTGGAGATGGCAGCTGCTGAGACAAAGTGCTCCTCCCTGATTTCAAGTGCATTTCTCTGCTCCGACAGGTGTACCAGGGCCTTTGTTGCCATTTGGTAGGGGAGAGCGTGCTCACCGCCTCTGCCTGTGTGCACTTCATGGAGAGGCGTGGAGGGGCAGTCTCTGAGGAGACAGTCAGCGTGCCTTAATGTAAAGAGTTGGTTGCCGCCTTAAAGCCCATCGCCTCGGACTGACCAGTCTGGTTCTTTCTCTTTAGTGCCTCTGATGCCTCCCCACGGAAGCAGAGCTCCTGCTGACTCAGTAAATGCAACAAAAAGGTTCTGAAATTGCTGTAGTGATGGAGTAGCTCTCCGTTCAGTGGATGTCTCTTGTGCCTACCCCTTTTATTTTGCATGTTATTAGATGTGTCTGTAAAAAAAAAACCTTGACTATCCTGTAGTAGGTTTCAATAGATACTGATGTGACAGCTTCTTTCATTTCAATCTGTTTATAAACATGGGTTCCAGTAGGTACTGTCAAGACTAATCCAGTTCCTCTGGGTTAGACTGTTGTGACTGCCTTTGGGTGTTGATGGAATAGAAGATGATGTTATATATCTTAAATATAGGGTGAAGATGTAGAAGTGTTTCTACCCTAGTGTTTTCTTAATGAGCCTGTTAACAGAAGACAGTTTAATGAGCCTGTGAATCCCTTTAGGTTCCACTTAAGCAAGGTCAATGGCTGCTTCATCAACGTTTTAGCTATCTGTAGAATGGGAGAGTTTGTTTATTTGTTTATATGTAAACTGTTCAGTCAAGTAAAATGGGATTTGGACTCGGTCCATCTTGTGCTACACAATGGGTTGTAATTAATGTAGCATGTCTTGCTGGTTGGGGCCCACTGAATGATCTACAAATCCTGATACAACTGATCCTAAGCAGGCTATCTCATGGAGTATCTGAGAGTGTGTGTTAACACCCTAAAGTATTTGTGTAAAGTGCTTTAGTATTTGCTGACTGTGCTGTTTCTCAGAGTGTCTGGAGGCAAAGTGATGGGCATCTCTGTGGAGAGCAGAGGCAAACTGTGGTCTCACAAGTCTGTGTGGGTCATGTCCAGGGTGTGTCTGCACCCTCTTTGCTGAGAAATGCCTGTCCCTATACCATGTGTCAATAGATAGGGATATTTTTCTCATCCTTCTTACCTGGTATTGATCCATAGCTCTAGTCCTTTACTGGAGGTTTGGCACTCAACCAGCTAAAGGTAATTCTTGCCTCTCCTGATATATAATTTGTGGCTGACCATCTGTCTCCCAGTAAATCACTGTCTCTGTATTGATCCAGCTGTAAGGTGTGGCTCAGTGACAGCTCCTCTCCTTCCATGCCACAAAGCCATTGGCAGCAGAATTACCAGCAAAAATGAGGTGCTTCCTGAAAGTGGGGTTGGTGGTGGGGGACCTCTGCTTACTGAGCTTGGAATTGGACTGGTTGCCCCCAGCTGGGAAAAGCTCACAAGTTTCTGGTGGTTTCCTTGTTTTAAGGGTTGAAGCAGGAAGGGGAAAATGGAGAAGAAACCACACCAGAAACAGTTGGAGGAAGGGGAAGAATTATTAAAAGAATTGTTTCTACTGTGTTGGGCTTATTCAGTCTTCTGTCCCAAGGGACCTTGAGGGTATCAAGGTCTGCCTGGAAATGAGAATGGCACAGTCTGAAGTATGCAGGGGATGCGTTACAGTGTACTTTTATTCTGAGGTCCTTTCTTTCACAAACTTCAGGGTCTGAACAGTAAATGCCTGTTGAATGCAAGTTGATAAAATTGGCATGTGTAGAAACTGACACAGTCCTATCTGGAGCTGTCAAAATTCACTATCAGATACTTACTTCATTCATTATGTACAGCTTTTTGATGCAGGGAAACCAACTGGTTTTAGAAGTCAGATTTGGTTATGACTACGTGGTACTGCAGTATTCACCTCACCACAGCACCTTCTGCACATTTACAGGCTGACTACTTGAAGGTGGCAGATCTGGGTCTTCTCATCCTGTGCCTCTCTCAGTAAGTGATAAGGCTGCATTAATCTGTATTCCCTGCAAACTCTGAGCTGAACTGTTTGGCATCTGAAAATGGGAAATTGTTACTGTATTACTTTTCAACTTAAAATTCATGCAGTGTAGCTCACATTATCAGAGGGGGTTTTTGTTAAGTGTTTTTCAGATTCCCTGATTATAAGTGAAGCCTTTTGACTTTCTAGGGAGCTCTGACATATGGGCTTACAAAATAACTTGTTTTAGAAGAGCAGGCCCTTGAAGTTCAAGTGCCACAATTTTCCTCAATCTCCTCTTTTTTTTTTTTTTTGGCAAGACTAGTTTTTGTTAGGCATGCTACAAAACTGCAGATGCTGAGCATTCCTGTGATAGCTGCAGTGTGAATATTTTGCTTTGTTCATGTTTTAAGTGCTCCCTGTGAATTAGGCTGCCTTTTGTTTTCCCTTGGCAGTTAATATGTTAGAGCTCTTGTTAGCCTATATGGACCTCCTTATTTTAATGAGACTGTCTTCTCTACTGGGTGTTCTGCTGTTGTTTTATTTATTTTTTTTAATCAATGAAGCCTCTTATTGAGCTTCTCCTAGGACAATAGCTTTCTTATGCCAAAGGAAAACGTATTCCCCTGGACAAAGCTGTGGGAAGCATAACATGCTCATTAGTAATGCTTGGTATATACCCTTCCCTTCCCTTGTTCATTCATAGAAGGAAAAATGACATCAAGGAGAGGATGTCTCTCTTTTTTTTTCCTTCACTAGAAATAAAAGGAAGGGGAAAGATATCACTGGTGTGTCTCTGACAAGGTCTGAGAAAAGCTAGCAGTCCTGCTACAAGGAAGTGTCTTCACCCGAAACCAAACTGGTTGCTCATTTGCCAGTCGTAGAGGTAAGTTGTTTGAAATGCCTGGTACGTGTAGTCCCACGTAGTCTGTGAGCTTTACGGCGGTGGAACGGGGGGAGAAAAACCATTCTGTTTTCTATGTAGGATGAAAATGTGAGAATTTTGTTTTCTATGATGGGCTATTCAGCCTTCTGTCATAGGGAGGCCAGGTTGTGCAGGAGAGAAGATGCCATCTACATACAAAGCCTAAATAGCTGGGACAGGGGAGAAAAATTACTTAATTTTAAATGAAAACAGATGAGTTAAAATGTCTGATAATGTCTGCGATATGGTTTAATCAGTAAGATGAACTTTTATATCAGCTATTAAGTAACAGAGCAAGTAAGTTGTTTTTAACAGGTTTCAAGACACAGATAGGAAATTTTTGACATTGTAAAATACCACTGGAAAAATTTTATGGAGAAATACTCTCTGTACCCATGCATGCAGCTAACCTGGCAATGCTGCACATCTAGACCTGGAGCCTCCAGGGAAAGACTTACTAATCCTTATTCCAGTGTAAAGCTTGTGCTGGATTTTCCCATGGTTGAAAGCATTGCTGGAAAATACAGTGTTGGCTTCAGGAGAGAAAGCTTTGACTGGATTGTCTCCAAAGTTTCCTTAATGATCATTTTGCCAGGGATTTGTACAGATCGCTATATTGTTGCAATAGTTTGCAGCATTTGTTGAAAACTTAGTGCATGCATGCTGCCTGCAAAGTCACAATCCCAACAGAGATTTCTAAAAACATTGATCATGTGTCTATGCTAGAACTTTATGATCTTTAAGGTCCCTTCCAGCCCACACCATTTGATGATCCTGTAAGAGAAAAATCTTATTAGTCAAAATGATTTCTCTGTTTTAAGGTTTTCATGATCTTCCAAGTATTTAATGTAAACTCAGAGTGCATATATCTGTCTGCACACATGTACGAGATACACTTGTGATAACTGGGAAGGAGAAATCAGAGACAACTGTGTTAAATCCAAGAATGGTTTGAAGTATGTGTATTACTCTTTGGCAAAATAAATGTCATACAGCTCCTAAAAATCTTGCCAACTTTGGAGCATTCTTTATGCATACAAAGTTGCTACTTTTGCTGCAATAACGGCACCTTTATCTAAGGGCGGAGTACTGAAGTACTCCGCCCTTAGATAAACCTTACCTACTAAGATATTTTCCTCTTTCCCCTTCCCTTCCTATGAGACTTATTTTTCCAAAGCAGCACTGATGGGTTTTTCTCAGAATTTTCATGAAAGCATGAGAGACTGTAATAAAAATCTCTTATTTTTCCCCAGGAGGAGAAACTAATGTAAAGCAGGTGACCATGCAGAATGCAATTCAGGTAAATACCTTTTGAAGTGTTTAAATCCTGTATACATGTATAATACTTTTTTTTAAATACTAAACTCTACCCTGAAGCAGATGAAATACTAGATTCACCAGTTACCTCTGATTTTAAAAAAAGTAGTAATTGGCCCCTTTTACAAGGATAACCCACTGTTATTATCAGATAGGTGACCCATTCACTTCTTAGCACTGTTAGCTAAGAAGATTTTGAAGTCAGAGCCTGAGATTATTGAAAAATTTCCATCATGATTAAGAAGTTTTTCTAATAACCTTATATTCTAGTTAATCACTTAAATATAAATATATTTTACATACACACTGAACTGAAGGAAAATAGTTAAGAATGCTAGAAAGATTCTGTCTTCAGAAATTTTACTTCACAAAATTTCAGTGTGGTCTTTCAGTGTGATAAGTTACCTCTCATTTACAAGATACAGAGTTCTGAAGAGAAATGCTAAGTATTTGTGTTCAAGAATTGTGCTATGTCCTTGCATGGAAACGTTTCCTCTTTTAATGCTATAATTTTTAATGGTTTAAGCACAAAATGTCTCTGAAATGTTTGATTAAGAAATCAGTAGTCTGTAGTAAATTATATGATAATTTGCAGATTTCATGACTTAAAATGTACTGAGTTAAAAAAAAACCCAAAGCATTTAATGCATGTTGTCTTTATTCTGTATTCAGGAAAGTATTTAATTTAAAATCCAAGGGAGTCCAGAGAAGGCATGCAGTGGTATATTGATGCAGGAGTTACTAACAAGAGCAGAACCACTTTGTTGCTCTGTTGGTTTTCTCTGTCAGTTGAAAGGGAAGTGAACACTCTGAGTAACAGTTCTTCAGTCTAATTCAGAACCACACGTTTTTGTCATCTGACTGCAAATATTAGAGCTTCCTCTCTTCAGCGTACTGAAATCTCTGCAGGTGTGGTTTGGAGATGAGCTTCCCTTGAGCCCCCGAAGTCCTCTGACCCCGCGACACGGGCCAGGTCTGGCAGATGTGTGCCTGTATGACCAGTGGATATCTGTGCGGCACGAAGCCACTTTGGTGCCTATGCAAGAAGATCTCTCCATTTGGCTGTCTGGCTTGCTGGGTGAGCTTAAAAATAAATCACTCTAATGAATTTCAAAGCACTTTCAATACTCTAGTCAGCGCTGACATGTAATATCTATAGTACTATTAAGATCTGGTGTATTTGAGTTTGAATGGCTGGGAGAATTGCATTAAAATGCATGCTTTGATTTCAGTTTTATTAGCTGCCGCCTCTTAAGGATTGCACAATTAATGATTCTAATTTGTATTTCTGAATCTTGTTAGTCTAATTAATATATAATTAAACTAATATTTGAATTTATTTTAGTTATATATTTCTTCTATTTTTCAGTCTTTAGTACTGGAATGCTATTTGAGTTGTCTTTAAGTTCATATGAAATTTCTTTACCTTTTTCTTAAAGGAATGGAAGTCAAAGCAGAGCAACTGCTAGAAGAACTTGATAATGGGGTACTGCTTTGCCAATTGATTGATGTTCTTCAAAACACAGTTAAAAAATGTTGTAACACAAACAACTTAAGGGTGAGTTGTAGAACGATATTTTAAATACATCTATAGAGCACTAAATTTTAAGTAGTAGTTACAGGGAAAGCAGGTGAGTGAGGCTTCCCAAAGAAGTGTTTAGTATGCTGTGTATCCAGAGACTGATTAACAACAAAGTGGCTTTGTAGATGGATAAACTCATCCAACAAATTACTTGCTTTTTTAGTCACATCCTAATGTCCTTTCTAGGTTTTTAATTTGATTTCAGTAGAAGTCTTGCCAGAGGAAGGTCTAGTCCAAGTCTGGAGTTTGTTCCTCTGACACCAGTGTGGGTTTTTAATAAGATATCCATTGGTGTATGTTTTGTGCCAGAAAGTGGTGGCTGAACTCATGTGTACAGGTCAGCCATAAAAGTATCCAAACCTGGAGATGGGCTTCAGTGTTTCCATTGAGAGGCAGTGCTTAGCTGAAATGTGAATCTCAAGCAAGTCTCTCTTACTTTGGAGTACAAAGGCTGCAGAACTAAGGACTGTTCACTCAGTGACTATTCACAATGATAAAGTATAATGCCTTCTATATTAGTGTAGCTTTTCTCATGGAATACATGGTGAGTTGAACACAAAATAGTTACAACTGTTTTTGTACTCTGAATTTAGGGTGTATTTTCCTTTGCAAATAAGCTTTGAAATCTGTTGGCAAGGTTGATGCATACAATGTACTTTTTGTTTTCTTCCCTTGCCAGAATTTTCCTATGAGAAAAGTTCCATGTAAGAAGGATGCTCCATCAGGATCTTTTTTTGCCAGAGACAATACAGCCAACTTTCTTAACTGGTGTAGAGCCATTGGAGTTGATGAGACATACCTCTTTGAATCTGAAGGCTTAGGTAACTCTCTCTTTTTGTAAGATTTGCTTTGATCTTTGTGTGAATCACTACCAGGTCAGGGAGATGCCTTGTTATAGACTTTTGAACTTTTTCTCTTGATTCTGTGTGTGTCGTGCAAGCTTTTATTTATTTTAAGGCAGTGTGGAAGTAAAAGCCTTTGAAAATCAGGTCAATGACTAATAAGACTTGCATGATGCTTTTCTAAATTTCTGAAAGTTACTGTGTGGGATGAAGTGGGGACTGAGGGCTGTGGAACAAAATATCGTGTTTTTCTTCAGTAAAAAGAACCACTGAGAATGTGGTTTCACTTTCTGTGTGTGGGAAGACCACAGGGTCATGGAGTCAGCTCACAATAAGATCCTTTATTTGGTATTTACAGCCATTCTTCTTGCAAAAATCCCTCAGAATAATACATTCAAGATGGTTAAATTTGGTAACAACATCAGGGCATTGTGTCTTAAGTGGCAACAGCCTGTTGGTAATTAACATTTAGTTCAGGACACAACATTACTGTAAACCATTTGTATTTTCCCATTTATGAAGATAGTTATAAAAATAAATATTGCCAACTATAAGTATGCCTGCCCCATTGCACAACTGGTGCTGTATAGCAACTTCTAGACTGATGGAATAAAATTTTTTTGACTGCTAGTTAAGAGGATTGTACTTTTATCACACAATAAATAAGGAAATGCTCTTCTACGTATTATGCTCTTCTAGCTATTATGTCAGTAAAAATTAATTAATACAAAACTTTCTATGGCAAGTCAAATTCTATTTTTTGTTGTCTGGCTTTTTTTTTTTAGTAAGCAAAATATCTGCCTGTCAGCAGACTAGCAAAAAACTGAGAAGTATCTTTGTTTTCAGTAATCATATGAAATTGTCATAATACTTAATGTATTTTGAAGTCTTTGTTCTATTAAATGCTATTTACATGCTGGCTGGACTGCCCATGCATGTCTACTGGATAAGTCATCTTTTAAAACAGTTGTGAAAACTCCATCATTTGCATGTCTCATTTTGATTAACTAGTGAGTGTATCTTTTTTCAGTGCCAGGAAATGCAGAGTAGAACTGAGTTACAATAATTTTTTATTTTTTTTTTTTTGTTCCTTGTAGGAATTGTATTGTTTAAACATGTTAGTTCCTGTAAATGGGCAGGTACCTAGAACTTTTTAGCTTCCCTGAGATAAGCAGACATGATTTCTTAGTGCTGTGGCTTTCACTTGTTGCAGAGAAGTGTTTTGAAGTCTAACTCCTGACACAAGCTTGCTTTGTGGCATAAATATCTTCTGTGAGTCTTTTTGGCAGTTGAAATGAGCAGACTTGCAGCCTCCTAGATGAAACATTCTTTCCACTGATGTTTTCCATCAGACTTTCAAGCCATTCTTCATGAATGAAACAGGGGAAGGATAAGTTGACAGTTGTCTTTTTCCTGTCAGGTACATATAGCAGCACCTCCTGAAAAGTGTAGATGACGGGGAAGGATAATAAATCAAGAAGCTTGTCAGACAGCGAAAAGGAAGAGTAGGCATCGTGGGGTGCCCTTTAACGTAATGCCAAAACAAATGTCTTGATCTCTGCTAGGGATATATTTGGATTTTTCTCTTTTGGAGTCAAGCAAATTGAAACACTTTTGTTACAGCTGGTAAATGCACACACAGATGTGCACATGCATATTCATACACTAAAAAATAGATTAATTGGCCTCTAAAAGGAGTTTTTAGATTATGGCTGTGCAAACTTTCTATTGTAGATTTACCCTTCGTAATTGAATCTTTTAAAAAGCAGACTTAGAAATTGGAGTAGATGATGTAAACAAAAAAATCTGACTTCATATTTGGATTATACTTTAGGAAACACATTTAAAATGAAGGCATTTTAAATATCAAATTGAACATCAGAAATGTGTTGGATTTCATCTGTAAATAAAGAGCTGGAACTTTGGAAGTAGTGATAAGAAAAGATCTGTTGCTTACTGCACTGGTAACAGTCACCCAGATTGTTCTTTCCTAGCCAAGGTTTAAAACCACTCAGGCTGGCTGGCTGTGTAGCCATCCACTTGTGAGCTAGGGCCCTTGCAGTGTATCCTCCACTGGATGGTAACCCTCAGAGTGCATGTACCTAGCTGTGTCTGTAAGCATGAGCAGGAACAGATGTGTGTATTTTCCTTTTTATAGTTGTTAAGTGCTTTTTGTCTTTAAGACTGTGCTATTGTATTTGGGAATAGGAAACAGGAAGCATTCTTGTATCTTTCTTTCCTATTCTCATCAAGAAAGATGATCATAAAATATATTTCTCTTAGGAGGAAGAGAAGAGTGGTTTCAGGAGTGCCAGGATGGGTCTAAAGTCTTTATGGAATAGAAAATTAGAGTTGTAAAGCATGTAGTGCTTTGTCAATGATAATGTACCTTGCCTTTGGGTAGGATGATGGAAATTTATAGTCATGGATACCTCATCTTCCCTTCTCTTGGCTGTACCTAATTGCCTAGGCCTCCTGCAATAAATATGAACTATAACTCCTCTTTATTCTCTTCCCTTTTAGTGTTGCACAAGGATCCAAGACAAGTGTATCTTTGTCTGCTGGAAATTGGGCGCATTGTATCTGGGTACGTGATCCATACATGCTCCCAACAAGAAATTGAAGGACGCATCCTACTAAGTAAAAGCTAGGACAAAGACAGGACGTTGTTTGCAGCTGTTAAGTATAATGCAGTGGATGCTAATTCTTGCAAAAAGTAATGAATTAGTTTTTCTAGGACCATCATACAATATGAATATTTTTTTCAAATATTTATCAGACCCTTTCCTTGGAGAGGTGCTGTTCTGTGCCGGTTTCTATAACTATGTGTTTAAGTTATACATTCATTCTTATGTGTACCTCTTGGAAGAACTCACTGAGCATTAAATACAATTTCAAGGGTTTAAATTTTTCAGCCATTTTAAAGGTATCTCTTTATTATCTAAATGTAGACTTAATTTATTTCTAGTACAGTGCTGGAAGTTTTAAGATAGTCTATCTAAATTGGATGTGACCTCAGCTGTCTAGTTTTGGCAGTATTTTTACTGCATCCACTGCTTAACACCAAGGCTACCTTAGGAAGGGCTTCTGCTAGAAACTCAGAGTGCTCCTTCTCTTTGGATTATCAAGACAATTACTCCTCTGATTGATTGATTCAGATGTCCTTGTCTGTCAAGCCACTTATAATTTTGCAAGTTTGTTATCATCAGCTTCTTTTTGTCTTCTTTTAATAAGTTAGTAATTAAACCCTCTGCTTTGGTATTTGAGGTATGGAGTTGAACCTCCTGTACTTGTAAAACTAGAGAAGGAAATTGAGCTAGAAGAAACCCTGCTGATGACCTCTGGGCCACCATCACCTCTTAGCACACCAAAGTCATGTTGTCACCATGGGGAGCTACATGAGGCAGTAAGTGCTACTTGCTTAGTGTGATATGGGCTTTAAATTAAACTCTTAGTTTGGGACTTGTATGATCTGTCTTAGTAAGGACTGGCTGGTTTTCATCTAATATGTGTGAGCCTCCTCAAACAGAAGGGTATGCATGTCTTTTTATCAATTTTGTTTGGAAAATGTAAATAAAATGCTATTCTATACGTTTTGGAGTGTCTATAACCTACATTGATTTCCTTTCCCCTCTTCCTTCTCCTTGCTTCTTTGTACATAAGAAATGTTTGTGTATAAGAAATGCTCTCATTCAATTTTTCTGGTGTCAGTATTCTATGACTGCAATGAATGTTTGTTTCTCTACAATTTGATCTTTTCATAAGACTTCATCAGATGTTAAAGTAGGCTTAGAAAGTCTTTTGAAAGATTTTTAAATCAAACCTCTGTAGCACTACCAGTTGGAAATGAACATGTATGCAGAAAAGGAAACAATTTGTACAGCTTGTGAACTGGTCCAGAGGAAATGATGAACAATTTTCTTATTCTGCTTAAAAATTAATTTGTTTTAAAGATCCCCTGTGTTGTAATGTAAAAATTCTGTTTCTTTGGGGATGTCAGCCACCAGATCCTTACTTTCTCCGAAAACTCACTATTTCTTCTTCTAGGCAATAGTCTCACCCTTCCAGTTTGTTGCATTTCTAAGTAGCTCTTAGAGGCAGATCTTCTCTAACCCAGCCTATATCTGGGGACTCCCTTTCCCCTTTTTTCAGTGGTTTCCTTCTTGGGTCTTCCATCTTAATAGAAGTAGATGGTTAAACTTGTGCTTGTGTCAAAATCTAACAAATGCTTTAAATTTAATAACTAGGTAAAACATATAGCAGAAGATCCTCCCTGCAGTTGTTCCCATCGATTTTCAATTGAATACTTGTCAGAGGGACGTTATCGACTGGGAGATAAAATACTCTTCATACGAGTAAGTAGTTTTTTAGAACTCAAATTTATATTTATTTTGGGGCGAGAAATGCTTTTAAGTGAAATACCTCATTTTTATGGAGTTGTTTTAGAATTACAGAATTATTTAGGTTGGGACAACTTGACATTCAATCCCTTATTCTAAATGGGTGTAATTACTCCATTCTTTAGATTTTTGATCCACAAACATTGATTTTATAACCACACTAAACGAAGATAATGTTTCTCTGTGGTGTCTTTAAAATTCCAGTAATGACTTGCAACATAAATAAGGATAATGCTATAGAATATCCTGAGAATGTTGCTTGTTCAAAACCTGGATTCTTGGGGTTTATAATTTGCGGGGTAGTTGAGTACTCTCGTCAGCAGTCATAAGAGTTTGAGTTACAAGGACATCCATAATTTAAATTAAACCCATGCCCAGAACTCTGTATACTAAACCAAGATTCTTACAGAATGGTTAAAATGTCTTCTGTAAAGATGTTTCCATTATTTCCTGACACAGAATTACTATCTCTGCAGGAGAAGCTATCTAATAAAATAATTGGGAAGCAAAAACCTTGTTTATCACATAATTTCGGTATTAAAATGTTTCTCTGTTAAAAAGGAAGTGCTATTTTTAGTCAATTTCATTAGGTGGTAATGTAAGATGAAGAAAACTAAAACAAGATAAGAATTTCTCTTGTTCTTCTGCTGTCACCCCCTCTTCCCCATTCTCAGATGCTACATGGCAAGCATGTGATGGTACGTGTTGGTGGAGGCTGGGACACTCTTCAAGGTTTTCTACTCAAATATGATCCATGCCGAGTGCTTCAGTTTGCAACTCTGGAAGAAAAAATCCTGGCATTTCAGAAAGGGGTCACCAGTGACAGTGTCCCCAGCTTGTCAGCTAGAAATCAGGAGCCTCCTCTTATGAATCCGATGTCAGCTGTCAATATGTTTCACAAGCAGCCATCAAAACCTCCTGCTCCTGTTTTAGGTCTTGGGGCCAGTGCCAAGAAGACTATGGTTAAACGTCCTCAGTCCCCTGCCCTGGCATCACCAAGAGTGCCAGTGACCCCATCTTCCACTGCCAAGTCATCAACAGTCAGGTCCAAATTACAAGGGTCTGCAGCAGCGAGTGTGCAGTCTCCTTTCAAACCATTAGCTGGTGCCTCAAAGAAACTGGAGTCTCCTGCATGCAACTCACCAACTTCAGCTCCTTCACAGCCTGGAAACAAAAGTTCTTCATGTGCAGGAACAAGAACAGCTCCTGTTCCCTCTGAAACATTGCGCAAACGTATTCGGTCCCCCGATGCTACCAAGGTGAAATTTGCCCTGCCTCGGGGCTCCCCAGCACCAGCACTCCATCGTGCCCTCTCACCCTCTAAAAAACAACCATCTCTCTTGTCTGGGACAGCTGGAACAACCACTTCAAAACAGAAGTGTGTCCCTGCTAAATGCAAACCTGTATCTGTCACGAAATCCAAGGCAAATTCAGCTGCTCCTAGGGCTGCTCGGCTGCCAGTTACAAATCTGCGCACTGTTGCCAAGTTTGCACATTCTCAGCAACTCCTTGCAAAACCTGCTGAAAATGATATTCAGAGGTCAGGTGTTGGGTCTCAGCATCCTCAGAAAGCCCCACAAACAACTTCTCAGCTAGCAAGGAACTTGAAGACTGCTTCCGAGCTAAAGCTATCTGCTTCTGCACCTTCCCTTGCAGTTAGCAAAGCATCAAAGCCACCACCTCCATTGTTACCTATAAGCAAAAGTGTGTCATCAACTGGCAGCAAGCAGCCAAATGCCAGTAATCCCCCTCAGGCTGGACCCTCTTTATCCAAACCTGCTGAACGCACACCTTTGTCTGTTGTACGGCTTCCTCAAACTTCAGCCAAAGCAGCAGTGACCAAAAAACCAGCACAGCCTTCCACAAAAGGTCAGCATTCATCCAAAAACTTGCAAACAAACAAAAGCTTGGCCCCAACAGCCAAGAAGCCACTCCCAAAGGAGCAGGCATATAACAGAGGAACACCTGGTGCATCAAAAGATCCTCTTATGAAGAGCAGGCAAGATGATCACTATTTTGTTATGACAGGGACTAAAAAGCCCAGAAAGTAAACTAATTTGTTACCTTCTGAGGAAGTCTCTATTTTGTTAAAAAGGGCCTCTTGTAACTACTGCACTGAGGACAAGGAAAAAAGTAAAATAACACTACATTTACTATGAAATATTAGGTATAACCTGCCTTTTGCTGCCTAACTTACTGTAAGAACTCTGTTTATTTTGCGGTTTAGAAACTTCTGGATATGTTTAGAAGGGAGCTTACTTGCTGTGTGGCACTGTGGAATGGCAAATGTCCTTGATCTGCTGCAAAAATGTGGGAGAGGAAAGGGGAATTAAGGCCAATACTTTTGCAGCAGAACTCTGGTGGTTCTGGCACATCTGCATTGAGGTATGTGGCAAGCAACAGAGCTGTGCACAAGCTGTAAAATTTCTAATACCTCAAGCAAAACTGTGGGTTTTGTTCACTAGTATTCCAGAGCCCAAATCTAGGTCACATATTTTGGAAAGAGAAGAATTTTCTAGTCCTGTTTAGATTTGACATATGCTATTATCAGTGTTCATTGTGCCCCCTTCATATGCCTTAAAGTGGATTCAGCTCACTTGGAAGTGGAGCTTGGTTTGTTTTAAATTGGACACTGATATTCATGGCCTTGACTGCTCACTTTCATTGTGCCTTAGCCTTTCAAATTCAGAATAGAACTCTCCAATGAGCTATATTACCTTTAAAACCCAGGGCAGAAAACCTTGCTTGGTCCATGTTCAAGTCTGACTAACTTTCCAGAAAGCTCTTGCTGCATGGAGAGATGGTCCTGGGTTCTAGGGGAGACACTTTCCCCTGGGCTGGAGCATCACGCCAGCTCCTTCTCCTGGTTTGGAGCCCCAAAACAACTCCTGCTGCAGCAACACTGAGCTGCAAGCACTGACCTGTTCTGGCAGAACTTTACTGCTCTGCAGGAGTGGTCTTTGCATGCAAGACTGAATTGCTAAATACTTCTCTCAGTGCTACGGGTTAATTTTTGTTTACACTCTGTAGTGGCCTTTCTTGTTTTATTTATGGAGACCTCTTTCCCGGCTCTCCTCTATCACTCTCTGGAGATGAGAAGTAGTTTCCCAAAGAGGAATATAGTCTGCATTTGCCTTTAAACATGTTAAAGTGCCAGAAAGCTATACACTGTTTACAGTGCACTGTTTACATCCAGCTCCTGAAGTCTTTCAGTGGGTTCAACATCTGTGATGCTCGACACCTTTACCCTTGAGAAATGAGCTTCATGGTAGATTGAAAACTGCTGTCTTTAGGAGTAGTGCTGTTTAGTTATTTTGGGGTTAATGAACAGTTGTCCCTCCAGACACTGAGGAACTCTGAAGTTCTTTGAAGATGCACTAGTGGTTTCCATAGACCATCACTTCTGCCCTCCATTTCCAGTCTATTTATGGGCAGGAGTGGATGTTACTGTCATAGAGGCTCCTGGATGGTGGAACAGGGAAGCCTTTTTAAAAGGAGAAGAGTTCCATGGAATATGTAGCTTCTGGTGTTAAGGGATTTTATTTTGGTTTTTTTTTTTCCCCCTGGAACTAGAGTAAGCAAACATTGTAAACTGAATTCTCGTGCGATGTGGCAGAGTCATAGAGCTGCTTTTCTGAGCACCTTGTTAGCTTATTTTATTTAATTTATGATTCTATTTATGCATATCTACTGTACAATACTGCTCACAACCTGCTGGGAGTAAGCAGTAGATGCCAGTATCCAAACTGTAGGAGGAAAACAGATGTGTTTTGATAATGTGGACACAAGTCCTACAAGATCCCATACAGAGTTGTATGTCTGGGGAAAGCCTTGGGCTTGCTTGTTTTATATGTACGCTGGTCAAAGCACTGCTACAATGTTAGGCAGGGTATTGACTATAGTGGTTTCCTGTCTGGTTTGATAAATCTGGCACATGGTTTCATATGCTGAAAGCATTTTACAGTAGATGACTTGCTTTTTATTTTTGGGCTTCCAAATGGTGAGATACATGTGATATATCTCATGCAGGTTAATAGCTGACTTCTTGGGATTTTCTTTCTGTAATGGGTCTGGAAGAGACGGACTTAACTTTCTTCATAGTATCCCATATGGGGCAGTGTCTTAGATTTAAAATCTAAACCCACGTTGATAACACGGTGTTGTTTGGGCTGTTGCTGAACAACCCTTCCATGGTGAAATCTTTCTTTTTCTCTGCCCCCACGGTGAGTAGGCAGGAGATTGGGAGTGACATGGCTGGGAACTGGCCAACTTGAATTGGCCAAAGAGCTGTTCCATATCATAAGGCATCACCTCAACAATAAAAAGAAGGAAGAGGTAGAGAAAGAAGGGTGTGCAGGTTGTGTGGCTTTTAAGGTGGTTGTTTGCCAGCTGGCTGGGCATCAGTCTGTCTGTGGGGGTAGTGAAGGACTGCCTTTGCATCACTTGGTGGTTTACTTTTCATATCTTTCTTCATTCATTAAACTTTTTATCCAGCCAGTGAGTTTTGCTTTTGTTGCTCCTCTCTCCTTATCTTGCTGGGGGTGGAGGAGAGGTAAGGAGAGTGAGCAGCTGCCCAGGCGCTTGGTTGCTGATTTGGGTCAGCCCACAGCACCTTTTAAACCATTTACAAGGTTCTTAGCATCAGTTTAAACACTGAGGCTCTTAGATCTCGGTGTAAAGAAACTTCAGTAATCTACCTTTCTGACCTACAGAGAAAATGAGGCAAATGGCTTCATCTTTGGAATATATGATGTCATGTAATAAACTGAATTTTAAAGTTCAAAATTGAAATAAAAATGCATAAGCTGTTACAGTTGAAACCTAATCAGCTAATCTAAAATTACACATGGGTAGACTTGGTTTGGTTTTATTATAAAAATAGTGTATTTGAGCGTGATCCAACTTGTGTGGAAACTGTACTTGCCAACTGCATAGTCATGTAACATGAGGTGAGCCAAGAAGGTGTAACAAAGTACATCCTAATGGAAATGCATACTATTTTTGCAATGTTTGCTGCCAAATAGCAAGTCTAATCTTCAGTTTATATTACCTTTTGTGAGGGAAAGATAATTTGGAGCAAGAATCAGACTGAATTCTCCATGTGATATTGATGTCCTCTGTATGAGTACTTATTTAAAATAAACATACACTGCACCTTTTTATGTGCACCTTTATGTTTCTTCTCCTGACATCTTTTTGCAGGGAGGGAAAGAGAATGCATTTCAGAAGGCTCATGTTTTCCCTCTGCCACCACATAAATAGTAGATTCCATCTCTGGCATAAATAGCTGCAATAGTCTAATCCATTGTTTGGTTTGGAGTTCAAGGCATTTTTACTCTGATCCTGTTGTCAGTGTAATTGTGTGGAAGGGGCATCTTACCCTTTTCTAGGCTCCTCTAGGAATGAGCCTAAGTAGTTTCAGATATACCCGAAAGTTGTGTTTGCAGCTCTACTTGAAATATAAAGCACCTGTGTGCCATGTTTTCCCTGCTTATTTCTTGTCAATAAAAGATCTATCTCTGTCTGTTGCCATTAATGACAGAAATTTAATTAGTTTTGTTGAGTGGAGAATTGGATGTTCTCACTCGACCCACCTAATTAACTGTTTTTTCCCCCTTTACTATTGGATGTTTTTAGAACTCTTTTAAAGCCTACCTTTGTCTGCTGTTCCAAAGTGTCTTCAGTTCCTGGCAGTCTGGTGCTGGTGCCCAATCACATAGACTTACCCTTCCACTTCAGCTGTGTCTAGTAAGCACATGCAAGTGGCATCTACCATCCTTGTTCCTACAGGACCAAGCTGTGCATAGGTGTTAGTTGCAGCATTTTTTTTTTTTAAGAGATGCTGTTACATCAGGCCAATAAAATGCAAAGGCAGTCCAAGATTTTCTCATGTAAGTATCCTAATCCTATTTTATATATCTTATTTATATCTATCTATCTATCTATCTATCTATCTATCTATCTATCTATCTATCTATCTATCTATCTATCTCTGGTAAATTTCAGGACAGTTTTCCTTTTAAAGCTTCTAAAAACTTCTAAAAAACATCTAAAGCACCCATAACTTGAAACATCAAACTATGACGCTCCTTTTCTTTTTTCCTACAGGGAAGCTGAAATCTGTTTGTCAGGTGAGTGAGTTCTATGGGTTCATCTGGTGTCTGTTAATTTTACAGAGACTACTCTGACAATGTAAACCCCTTAACTTCTCCAGAAATACATGGGCAAAACCTTTTGATTCAAATAAAACTTTTAGCTAGTTAAATCCATACTTGGCATGAAATAAGTAATGCAAGAGACATTTAATGCTATAAGACCCTTTCATTTCATGCAAGCACATTATTGAAAACCTCCTTTTCATTATTTTCTTTAAAAGCCAAGACTGAAGATCACTTTCCTAGTAGAAGTTTTGAAAAACAAATTGTCTGAAATGTAAAAAAGTTCAACACTTATACTTTTCAGACATTTTAATAAGAACTAAAACATTAAAGTATTTGAGAGGTGAGATCTGCTCACAGTTCAGATCTAGCTAGCCAGCAATCCCCATTAACTGAGAAATAAACTTTCAGGTGTTTCACCTGGTGGGAGTGCCAGCAGTGAATGGCTTTCTACTTGGGGAGGGCTACTGATGTCTAAAGCAACGCTATTACAGCATTTTGTGTGAAGTACTTTGTTCCAGATGGAAGAAAAACCTTAGAGGATGGGAGCAGCTGGCCATTTCTCCAAAGAATGTAGCTAGGCAGAAAGTATTGACAGATTTGTTGTGCTAAGAGGTTTTAGAAGGTAAGATTGCAGCATAGAACTTTGATGTAAAATTGGCTTTTAGTGCTGAGTCAGAAAGTACTGCGCAAAGCTGAGATCCTACTAAACAAAGCCAAACTTGCATGCTTCCTCAAACACCCTGTTAGGCTATTCACTCAGGAAAAGTGGAATACATTAGTGTTTGTCAAAATACTCAGGGCACCTCATAAGAACCTCATGTTAAAGTCAGTTACATGCATCTTTACTGTGAAAGTATATACTTTACCTCTTGCATTTTAAAATAAAAGTAATTGTTGGAATTCAGGTTGAGAATCTTCTAATTTACTGAACTTTTATATAAGCATTATTATTATTTACTTTTCTGAAGCACTGCTGCAGTAACAAAAAATGCCTTGTAGCAGAACCTATATTCCCAGAAGAACAGAAATAATTACTGTGATGTGTCATCCTGATCAACAATATGCTGCTTCACAGCTTTTTTTTTCCTTTTTGCTGAATACGCTGCTCTATAGACACCTGTGAAATAAAACTATAATAAATTGCTTTTATTGTGTACACATTGCAGCAGTGACCCTTGAAGTACCATGAAATTTATTGCTGCATCCAAAGAAAAGAGCAGCAGAACGAGTTTATTCAAAAATCAAACTAAATATGTGTGTCTGGTATCTATATCTATAGCCCTGGAATTAAGCTTCTGTATATTACATTAGATTTGGGATGTTTTTCTGATTGCACAGTTGTATAGTCAGGATTTTAAAACACTCTTAGTTGTAGTAGGATATTTTGCTAGGTCAAATTACTTACAAATATAATGATGAAGAAGCATTTTTAGTGATGTACATGACAATGGCCATAAGAATGTCTGCTAGATTATGGATGGGTTTAATTGTTTAATGAAAAATATTGAAACATTTCTTTGTGATTTCCTTCTTAAAACCCTATGAGTTTCCCCAAGACTTGGGTCCTCATGTCACAGTCCATTTACAGTGGTGTGTAAAAGTAACATATTAGGTCTGTGAAGTCAAACATTCACAGTTTAGAGAAAGCTGTAATTCAGATGGGTAAGTGCAGCTGTTTCAGGGCATACTTGGGGTCCTGTGCAGCCCTGGGGCCTCAGCATAGGAAGGACATGGACCTGCTGGAACAAGTCCAAAGGAGGGCCACAAAGATGATCAGAGGGCTTGAGCGCCTCTCCTGTGAAGATGTGCTCAGAGAGGTGGGGTTGGTCAGCCTGGAGGAGTGAAGGCTCTGGGGAGAGGTCATTGCAGCCTTTCAGTACCTAAAGAGGGCCTTCAGGAAAGCTGAAGAGGGCCTTTTTATGGGGGCGTGTAGTGAGTGATAAGGATAAGGGGTAATGATCTTGAACTGGAAGAAGGTAGGTTTAGACTGGATGTTAGGAAGGAATTCTTCACTATGAGAATGGTGATGCGTGGGTTGCTCAGAGAAGTTGAAGTTACCTCGTATTTGGAAGTGTTCTAGCCAGGCTGGATGGAGCTTTGAGCTACCTGGTCTAATGGAAGTTGTCCCTGCCTGTGACAGGGACACTGGAGCTAGATGGTCTTTAAAGTGCCTTCTAACCCAAACCATTCTATGAGTCTATAATTTTGACACACATGTCCATTATCAATTATGATAACATCAAAATGCTGTTTCGTTCAGCCTGTAGAAGAAATAGCTCTGCCTGCATAAGCAGTTGTTCAGTATTGGGGATTCTCTCTGTACATGTGTATGGCCCCTTGCCTTATTTTCTAGCCTGTGCTGAAGACAGTGAATCATTGTCATATGGGTATTTGCAGGATCTCATCCCAACACCTGAATGTTTCTCAAGGCCTATCTCCTTAAAACTGAGGAAAGTCAGGGCTGAAAGTCACTGAGATTAAAGTTTCCATTCAGTTGAGTCAATTAATTTGCATTTCAAAGTAGTGTGATAGTGTGATGATACTGGACTGAATAACTTTGAAATTTCAGGTGCTTTGGCTTTATATCTTGGGAGTACTTAGCAGCATTGCAAATTTGAGTAGTGGGCTTAAGTCAGGCACTTATAACAAGAAAGTAGAGTAGCTCTTTGTGAAACAGTGAGCTTATCTCAGTTGTCTAATATGCAGGGAGGTAGAAAGAAAAAAGATGACATATAAATCTTGTTCCTAGAGAGAGAATTTTTTTTTTTCTGAAGCAAGAGAAAATCATGCAGCTTTCCTGTATTCCTTCAACATGTTCCCCATCTACCTCTCCCAAGAATGCAGAACCAATCTTCAGGAATTTACAGCTCATGTCGTCTTAAATGCATGCAAGGGATCTGAGTTCAGGAGCTACAAGAAATGCTGACCAATTTATTTCTCTAATTTCCTAAACTTATAATATCAGCCTCTAAAATTTTTTGATGATTTTGTATGTTGTTCTGTAGAATGAAACCAAAAGTCTCTTCTGTTCCACAAGTTCTGGACCACACTGTAAGTATCATTGAACTAAATGAACGGCATAGGTGCATTCCTATTTAGCTATTTTACTCCATGTCACTGCCACAACTGCTCCTGTTCAAATCAAGCAAAAATAGGTGCTTGATTTGAAAGATACAGCCAGGTTCAAACAGTGTTTGAGTTATTCAGCTGGGTTTGGGCTATAAACAGTATAATGCCAAAGGTGAAGGGAAGAAAACAATGAAGAAAGACTAACTGCATACAACATACAGCTGATGCTTCACCATTTACCATTTTTTATTATTTATTTTCTTAGCCAGTCACTCCCACCTTGGTCAACAAACTTCTTGTGAACATTCTAATGGAAACAGGTGCCTGGAGAACTGTAATTTGTGGGAGAGTATCACTCTTGCTGTGACTGCACAAAAAGGCATTGTGTGATTGATTTTCCAAGAATTGGGTTAAGAGGGTTTTATAAAGCTTAACAAAAAAAGCACATAAGCTTAATTTAGGTACTTTACTGCTTCCCCCTCCTTCAATAAGGAAATTATATTAAGCAGTCATGAAGTCATACCTATGATCTCAAAAACCTTTGCTGAATTTCCTACAACAGCGTTTTTCAGGCCTTGCCTTCTCCCTCTTCACCCCCAAATCTCCAGTCACAACCTGCAACCACTTCAACTGCATAATGGGACAGGCAGCATTGTCACACTGGGAAGATTAATAAGCTGTGTCTATTTCCCAAAAATAAAGAAATTTTGACCAAGAACAGCCTGGTGCCTAGGTGCCTACCAGTGGGTTGGATGACAGGGACGTTGCCTTTGGAATAAGGTCTCTCTGAAGCAAGGTTTGCAGGTGAGCTCACTCTTGTTCTCAGCTCAGCTTTTTACTTCTCTGCGAATGCTCTTCTTGGGAAATTCTCATCACCAAATGTTCTAGTAGATAATGAATTATGGTAGTGTTTGTCTTAGTTTGCCTTTC